GAAATGAAATGAGACACTGTCTCTCCAACAAATAAAAATAAAAAGTTGGGGGGGGCGGTGGTTCTTGTATTTCTATATTTAATCAACCAAACTGGAAACAATCAGACAGGACACAACCCAAAATTAAATTAAGAAAACAATTCAATTTACAACAGCATCAGAAAGAATAAACTAGTTAAGAATCAGGAAGGGGAAAGACTCGTCTATACAGAAAACTATAAAACATTGCTAAAAGAGATTAAAGAATACACACATAAATGGAAAGAAAACCTTTGTTCAGGTATTGAAAAATTTGATATTGTTAAGAAATCAATACAAACCAAAAGAAATCTACAGATTCATTTCAATCTCTATCAAAATTCCAATTACATTTTTTTGCAAAAGTACAAAAAAGTAATTCTAAAATTTATATCGAATATCACAGGACCCCCAAATAGCCAAAATAATCTTCTAAAAGAAGAACAGTGTTGGAGATTTCACACTTCCTGATTTTAAAACATACTACAAAGCTATACCAATTAAAGCAGAGTGGAATAGATAGACAGACACAGAGACAAATAGAAGAGAATTGAGCACTTGAAAAGAATCTCTTCGTCATATGGAAAAATGATTTTAAACAAGGGTACCAAGAACATTCAGTGGGGAAAGGACAGATTCCATAAAAAATGTTTTTGAGAAAACTGGATATCCACATGCAATCGGGAAATGGATAAAGACCCAAATGGAAGAGCGATCACTATAAAAATCTTAACAGAAAATATTAGGAAGAAGTTTCACAACATTGAGTTTGGAAATGATTTCTTGTATTTGATGCCAAAAGCACAAGAAAAAATAGAAGAATATAGATAAAGTGGATTTCATCAAATTGTAAAACTTTTGTGCATCAAAGGACACTATCAGCAGAGTGAAAATGCAAATCATGGAGTCAGAAAATATTTTTCAAATTTTGTATCTGATAAGGGGTCCAGGATATAGAAAGAATTCCTACAACTCATCAGGAATAACAAAAATAGAAACAATCTGATTAAAACATGGGCTCCTGACTTGAATGGATATTTTTCCAGAGAAGATCAACAAATGGCCAATAAGCACATGAAAAGATGCTTAGCATCACTAATCATTAGAGAAATGCAAATCAAACCACAATAATATACAACTTCACACCCACTAGGATGGCATTACCAAAATAATAGAAAATAACAAGTTCTAGTAAAGATGGGTAGAAATTGTCTCTGCTAATGCAGTGCTGGGGAAACTGTAAAATGATGCATCCACTGTGGAAGCCTTATGGCAGTTCCTCAAAAAATTAAACGTATAATTACTATTCTAACAGAATTTTCGTTTCTGGGTATGTGCCTAAAAGAATTGAGAGCAGGATCTCAAGGAGAAATTTGTACACCCTTGTTCATAGCAGCATTGTTCACAATAGCTAAAAGGTGGAGGCAGCCCAAATGTCTATCTGATGGATAAATGGGATATAGTATACACACACAATAAAATAGTACTCAGCCTTAAAGAGAACGTTCCGGCCCATGCTATGGCACGGATAAACCTTAAAGACATCATGCCAGCAGAAATAAGCTGGCTTCAAAAGAACAAACATTGTTTGATTACCCTTATATGAGGTACCTAGTAAAATCTAGAGTGACAAGAAGTATAATGATTATTTCTCAGGTCCTCGGGGTGGAGAGCTGGTGGAGAATGGACAGTTATTTGTTTTTTGTTTAGTTATTTTTACTTTGTTTTTTTGGAGACTGAGTCTCTCTCTGTCACCCAGTCTGGAGTGTAGTGGCACAATCTTGGCTAACTGCAACCTCTGCCTCCTGAGTTCAAGCGATTCTCATGCCTCAACCTCCCAGGTAGCTGAGATTACAGGCATGCATCACCACGTTCAGCTAACTTTTTGTAATTTTTTTAGTAGAGATGGGTTTTGTCATTTTGTTCAGGCTGGTCTTAAACTCCTGGGCAAAGGCCCAAAAGGAGATGATGTGAGATTGGGACTTTTGGACCAGGACCTTGGTAACATTGGTCTTATTTATACAACAACAAAAAGCGACCTTGTCCCCATTCAGGGGCAATCTGAATAGGGAACTGAAACAGGAAGGAGCAGAAAAAAGGAAAAGAAGCTCAGTGCAAACAGCTGAATGGGGAGATCACAGGGACCACCAAGAAGACCCAGGGCTTTCTGCTCAGTGCCTTCAGTCTCATACACCTTGGAGCACCCATTGAACAAAGATAACTACCAGTATATTCTAGCTGAACCTGATCCCCAGGCCCTTGGTCCTCAGAAACTTGAACTTGACTGTTGAGTAAAATTCCTTATTCCTGGAGACCTCTACAGAGGCTGCTTGTATGAACAGGTTTTGTTAGCCTGACATGACTGGGCTCCCCAGTTAAAAGTCTCCAATGACTGGCTGGCTGACTGTGGTTGAACAGAAGGGCTACTTTACGGTATGGGATTCTCATGGGCTACCTTGATATCACCATGGATGAGATGCCAGCAGACACTGCTGCCAGACTGGGTTGGTCCCAGTCTTTAGGTAGCTGTCAAGCTCCCTTAGGTTATGATACACTTAACTATTCTTGGGAGAATTAAAGGGGATGAAGCTCCACCAGTCCGTTAGCAAACACTACTCTTCTAGCTATAGACGGGGAGACATCCTGGGATTTTACATGAATCTTCCTGAAGAAACAAAGACAGTCAAGTCATTGCCTGATACTTACAAAGATAAGGCCTTGATAAAGTCCAAGAATTGTTTGTATTTTGAGGAAAAAGACCTTGTGACTAAAGCAAAGAAGAGCCTAAAAGAGACTTCCCAGAGTGAGGTAAGATTTTATAAAAACGGGGTCAGTCAAGGTGTGGCTTAAAAAGATATTTTCAAGGGACTTTACTTTCCAGCAATCTTATTACCAGAAAACAATGGCATAATTTCCATTAACACTGGACTGTGCTTCAAGTATCCTCCAAAAGATCTTTCTTACTGTCCTGTGAGTGACATGGGTTGGGATGCTGTGGTAGAGCACACTGACTGGTGTCTCGGTGCTAGAAATGGATTCAATCACTGGACAAGAAGGTCCTTCAGGGGCAAACGTAAGGACACTGAGACTCACCTTATTCTTCCTGCCTTCTCTCCTTACTCGCTGTATCCTAGGCCAGCCTATGCTAGCTCAACTGTCCACAGATCTCTCTATCTCTTTCTCTCTCTCTCTCTCTCGTGTGTGTGCGTGTGTGTGTGTGCGCACGCACGTGTGTGTGTGTGCATGTGTGGATCAAACATTTCCATTCAAAAGTTCAAGCCCTGTTGCATCACGAGACAGTGCTGCCAAACATGAAGAAAATTTTCAAAGGACATAAAATAGAGAAAACATGATCCAAAGTTATTTCTGATCCCAGAAAAGAGTGGCACACAATCAACATGAATAGTGTTAGATATCAAAATTATAGCACAATCTCATTTACTTTTACCATAGATTCAAACTCTCTTGAGCATATTGGCAAGCAGAATCCATGTTCTACTGATACAATTCCCCTTGACCAGCATGAAAGAATTGGACTGAGAGCAGGACATTTCTCAGGTCTCTGGAGGATATGTAACACGGCTGTTGGAGAGAATGCACCTAGGAGGAGGTAGTGAATTAAGTGTCAAGTGCCCAATAGAAGGCTGACAGTGTTTGTTTCTGACACATTGTTGGGGAGAAAGGTGGAATCACAGGACACAGTGCCATGGGACCCACAAGACTTGATACTGCATCCCACAGTGGGCAGCCCGCATCAACGTGGCCATCCAGGGATAGAAACACGGCCACAGAAAGCTTTCACCTGCTCAAGCAGCATCTCCCAAGAGCCAGCATGGGTACTGTCTCTGCTCTGCTTTTTCCTGTACTGACTTCTCCCTCATCCAGTTTCCCAATCCCCCTCTTCTCCACTGGTCACCAGGGGCCAGGGGAGTGGGGAGGGGAAATAAACATTTTAAGGGTACAAATTTTTCACTTGGGATGATGAGAAAGTTACGGAGATTGATAATGGTGATGACTGTATCACTTTTTTTTTAAGAGATGGTGTCTTGCTCTGTCGCCCAGGCTGGAGTGCAGTGGTGCTGTGATAGCTCACCGCATCCTTGAACTCTTGGGTCTACGAAAGCCTCCTGCCTCAGACTCCTGAGTAGCTGGGACTACAGGTGCAAGTCACCATGCCAGGCAATTCTATCACATTGTGAATGTACTTAAGACCATTGAATATTACAGTTCAAAGTGATTTAAAAGGCACATTCCATGTTGTGTATATTTTATAACAATTTAAATTATACTTGTTCAAATGCCAAAATATATACAATGCTATACTCATAAAATTGTTCTTTTCATGCTTGTCTATTTATCCTATTCTGACTCATTCTCATCAGTTAAAAAAGTACTCTAATTACTGGTCGTTATGGACTAAAATTGTCCATAATTCACATTGAAGCCTTAACCCCCAATGCAACTGTATTTGGAGACAGAGACTTACAGAGGGTAATTAAGATGAAATGAGATCATAAGGACCAGTATCCTTATAAGAGGAGGAGATTAGGAAATGGACACAGTGAGAAGGTGGTCATCTACAAGTGTGGACACATCTTCAGTTTGTTTGGAATAACAGTTGAAGGGCTCGCCCATCCTGGAATGAAAGTTGGAACAGGTGCCTTGGGCAGGCTCCAGGATTAACTGATCTAGTCATTGCATCCTACTGTGGGACCCCAGAGGGAAAGAAGCACTGTAGAGATTCCTGAGACATTAGAAACGGAACCTGAGAAGCCTCCAGGACACCCACTTGGCCTCCAGGTGAAGCAGGGGCCCAGGGAGACCTTGTCTGAGCCCTGAGTGTGATGCAGCACCTGGCCACTAGGGGGAGGCAAAGCCTGTGAATCCTAAGGGACCTGAGCTCTTGCTCTGAGCCCTGTGCTTGTTAATCACCAGCCCTGGGAGGGAACTGATTTGCATGGAATGTGATGCCCCTGCCCCCCAGTTCTTCACTGAGGAAATAAGAGGCTTTGGGGGCTCAGGCTCAGCTGAGAGACTGAAGAACCCAGCATTGCAGTATCTCCACCATGGCCTGGGCTCCTCTGCTCCTCACCCTCCTCAGTCTCCTCACAGGTCAGGGTGGGCAGTGGGCTGGGCCCCCAGAGGGATTCCCACCTCCCAGCCCCCAGCTGCCCATCCCTCCTCTTCCTCCTCCAACAGCTCATCAGCCACCCACCAACAGGAGCCCTCACGGCTGTCTGTGTTTCCAGGGTCCCTCTCCCAGCCTGTGCTGACTCAGCCACCCTCTGCATCAGCCTCCCTGGGAGCCTCGGTCACACTCACCTGCACCCTGGGCAGCGGCTACAGTAATTATGCGGTGGACTGGCACCAGCAGAGACCAGGAAAGGGCCCCCAGTTTGTGATGCGAGTGGGTACAGGTGGGATTGTGGGATCCAAGGGGGATGGCATCCCTGATCGCTTCTCAGGCTCGGGCTCAGGCCTGAATCGGTACCTGACCATCAAGAACATCCAGGAAGAGGATGAGAGTGACTACCACTGTGGGGTAAACCACGGCACTGGGAGCAACTTCGTGTAACCCACAGTGACACAGGCAGAGTGGAAGTGAGACAAAAACCTCCGAGCTGATCTGCTCTGTCCACACTTCCTTCCCACTGGCCCGACTCACAGTTCAGAGGGCTGTCTCCTAACTCTGTATTTAGTTTTCACCTTCCTAGACATTTTGGAGTTCTAATTCACAGCATATGATTCCTGTGTGTAAATACTTTCTACAGAACTTTTGAAACATGGAAGTTTGCACATGAACATTTGGGGTTTTTTGCCACTCGCCTGCCCCCGATGGGATTTAAATTTCCAGGTTGTAGAGCTCCTCACAGGTGCATTTACAGGGAAATCACTGTGACCAGCTCCCACTACCTTTGTCCATATTCCACATTTGTGAGCTGCCTATACAATGATGGGAACTGACAATTTCCCTGGAGACACAAGGCCTTCACCCTGACTCACAGGGTCACGTAATCAACATGGACTTCAGCCGTCTCCAATCACCTCCATGTGCACAGAGTTCTCATGGTGCATGTGCTTGGCTGTCCTAGAAGAGAGAATTGACACACACCGAAGATAGGAGAATGTGAGCCTGCTCTGTATCTGAGATTCTGGGAGAGCCCCCCATTGCCTTTACAGAATGAATCCCTTCACATGCAGGGAGAGAGCTCTGGTGGAATCACTCTGCAGTGCTTCCTGATGACAAACACCTGGATTGAGGTCACATTTCACAGGTGAAGGGCATAACCCTCCACAAGACTACCTCCACTACAGACTCCAGTTCCCAGGCTTTAAGCCTGAGGACCCTCGTAGACAACCAAGATGGGCCTGTGACCAGGAGGAGCAATGGGTAACTGTCCCAGGCCCTGCCTGGGGGCTCCTCACAGCTGGATGAGACCCACTGGCCACAGGCTGGCAGAGGCCGATCTGCTCCCCGTGCTCACTGATGAGACTCAGCACCCTGGTGTTCTCAGGGTCCAGCAAAGCCTCTTGGGCAGGGTCCTGTGCCTGCTCCCAACAGTTGCTCCCTCGAGGACCCTCCTGGGCCCACACTCAGAGCAGCTCCTTCCTCAACCTCCTCTGTCCACACGTCCCCTCTCAGATTCCTGAATCAGTGATCAGGCAGGGTCTCATCTAGCCAGAAGGGAGGGAGTGGATTTGCCTGAACAGTTTCTTATTTTCCCTGGGGGCAGAAGGAAAAATAGACAAGCCTGGGGAAGCCCAGCCCCACTGTGAGGTCCAGGGGCTGTGCCCACCGTGTCTTGTTGCCTGAACACCTCTCATACCCAATCCTTGGTCTATGTTTATAGACTCAATGAAAATACCTTCCTTTCTACTGTCTCTTAATGCTAACAGAATCATTTTGTTCCCTAAGCACAAATAGCCTTCCGGGTCTCTGGGTGGGATGACAACTAGAGCAGAAGTCCAGCATGTGCGGCCCCCTTCCTGGCCCATACGTGGCCCTGCTCTTAGTCCAGTCTTTGCTGGTCACTCCCCGAACTCTGAAACGTCAGGGAAGTTGAGTTTCTCTTTCTCTTGAGATTGTACTCTTGTGGAGCTCCTGAATTCCCAGGTATAGGGTGACCCCTCTGCATTAAGGACATGGCTGTCAGACTCATCCCTGGTTTACTTCCTCAGGTTTAGGTCTCTGAGTTCTAAACAGTTTCCCTGTTTCTTTGGTTGATATTTTGGTTGATATTGCCCTTTGTTTCTTCAGGTTGATATTATGTTGGGTAATTACGTTGGTTGATTACATTGGGTAGATATATTCTTGTAGATAGAAACATTATAAACTCTTCCCCCATTAAGCTCTAAATAAAGAAACTTGTTTGGGTGCCAATGTACCAATGTTGGTAAAAAGTCTTGACCCTTTTTTTTTTTTTGCAGGAGCAGAGTAGAATCTGAAAAAAAAAAAGAGAGAGAGAGAAGTTCACCTTATAATGCTGTTATTTTCAAATAAACCCTCCTACTTTAAAAATTTACACAACTAGACCTATACTGAAAATATTTTCAAATATATCAGATATTAAATATATCTGCATATGTCACTGTGGAGATGGCTGCTTCCTCTACCACAGAGCACAATAATACTCAGCCTCGTCTTCAGCCTAGGCCCCTGTGATGGTGAGGGCAGCCTTGTCTTCAAGTACAGAGCCTGACAATCAAGTGGGTACCCCATGCAGAGATGGGGACGTGAGACACACACCCTGGCTCAGCGTCACCCTGTGCTCCTAACATCTCCATCTTCCTCACACAGAGGCTGTATCTGGCTACCGTGGGCCCGTGATGCTCGTTCTCCAGGGCCCAAGAGAAAGTGGCCGAATATATTCTTCCAGCTGCAAAATTGTTCATTTTTAACCCACCATGTTATTATAACAATGTGTTCATAAAGCACAATACTAAGATCTATCATCAATTGCACAGTTATGAGTTATTTATAGGAGTGGCAAAATAAGAAGTTACACACACACACACACACACACACAGATTCAGGCAGGCCAGCATTTAATTACCAAGAGCAAAGTTTGATATTATAGTGACACAACACAACGATGATACTATGTATAATGATAAACACAGCAATGGACCTATAAAGATTTGAAGAAACATAATCGAAACAGGGCAAAAATCTCCTGCTCACCAAATTTTAGAAAATTCTAAAACAAAATAAAAATTTTTAAAACCCCTCAAAACTGAGTTAATTTATAAAATATAATACAAAACATAAAGTTGACATAAATGAAACACTCTTCTTACTCAGGAAATGCAGCTTCTTTCTCCACAACTTAATCTAGTGTACCAAAACTGAGCCTCCCTGTTTGCTGATGGAAAACGTCAGCATCACAGCAGTAGAAAAGCACCGGCCTCTCTACCGACAGTGCATCTTCCCTCCAGAGACTCCGTAGGACTCTGCAGGGGGTCCTAAGGGCCCTGAAGTGGAGGCTCTGTGATGGCAGAGGGCACGGATGGCACAGGGCAGGAATGTCTGCAGCGTAGGAATGTTACAGATACAAGCTTCATTCTTCTCTAAAACAAGCCTGTCTTACATGATTTATCTTTATTCTTCTCTACAAAATAGAATAAAATAAAATAAAGCCACAAAGATAGCTGCAAAGAAATATGTGAAATTGTGCAAGGCTAAGATAACAAAGAATATTGGAGGAAAAAGTAATTATGACATCTTCTATCAAAACATTTTAGTCCAAGCGTAGTGGCTCATGCCTGTAATCCCAGCATGTTGAGAGGCCAAGGCAAGAGAATCACCTGAGGTCAAGAGTTCAAGACAAGCCTGGGCACAGTAAGAGATCCCATTTTTATTTTTTAAGAAATTAAACACCAGAAACAGATAAACAGCACTCTTCATTCCTAATTAACTTGACAGGGTAAAAATTCTGAAATCATTTCCGAAAAGCTCAGAATTTGAGGTTAAAAGGAGAGGAGGAAAACCATACAGAAATGAGGGCTTTGGTCAAGGCTCTTAACGATGAAGAGCAGGACTTCTGAGTCCCTGCCACTATATTCTACTGTGTGCTCACACACCACATTAGATGAATGTAATTATGTGATACCCAGGTCCTCCTTCAAGAAAGGAGTATTCGACTCTGCTATTGGGAGACCTCAGTGGACAGCTTCAAGCTGTCAGCAGCTTATGGGTTAGCCTGAGCTGCAGAGCAGCCTCAAACAAGGCATGCACCTGCCAGGTATAATGGATTAAATAGTCTGATTCCAAAATTTACACCCACCTGAAACCTCAGAACATAATCTTATTGGGAAGTGAAACCTTATTTGCAGATGAAATTAGTTAAGATGAGGTCATACAGGATTAGGAGGGACCCTAAATCCAAAGACTCTTGTCCTTATTACTACAGAAGATGACACACAGACATACACAAAGTGATGGGATGTTGAAGCCAGAGGTTGAAATGATGAAGTTACAAGCCAAGGAATGCCGAGTGTTTCTGGAAGGCAGCAAAAACTACAGGAAGCAAGCATTCTTCTCCGGAGCCTTCAATGTGAGCATGGTGTTGTTACCTTGATTTCCGATTTCTCACATCGGAATTGTGAAACAATAAATTTCTATTGTATTAAACCACACAGTTTGTGGTCACTTACTATAGCTACTATAGGAAAAAATACAAATTTTTGTACCAAGAGGGAAGTTGCTACAAAAAAATTACCTAGACATTCGGAACTTTGGGCATCAGGGCAATGAGGAGAGACTAGAAGAGTTTTGAAGCGCACAAATGAAAAAGCATGGATTTCCTTGGAGGGAATGCCAGTAGAAATACAGTGAAAAGCACTTTAGATAAAGGCTCAGAAGTAAGCAAGGAGAACTTTAGAGAAAACATCTAATGTCTTAAAGAATTAATATATTATCATGAAGAAAAAGTTGATAGAAATAAAACATTAAAGGTGTTTCTGGTCAGTCTTTATAAGACGATGACTAACATGATGTTGGACACAAGGAAAGGTGATCCTTGTTAAAAAGCGGCAAAAGAAAAACCACTCTTGACTAAATTGCATTACATTGTTGGATGGAAAGAAGAACTTGTAAGCGATGAATATGAGTATTTATCTGAGGAGAATTTCAACGAATGTGTCGATAATATAGCCTTCTTTTCCCTTGGTATTTATAGTAAACCAGGAGAGGAAAGAGATCAACTGTAGAAGAAACTGTTGAACCAAAAAAGCCAGAATTTATGATTTGGGAGATCATTTGGCCTATCCAGATTGCCAAAGTTAGGAAATTCACTCTTAAAAAGTAGTCTAGAGGGAAAAGCAAGGGTTTATCTGGACAAGTTTTTATTGAAGTGATTAGCTGTGACTTGTAATTACCATTGTAGCAAAGTCAGGAATAAAGATGTGTTATCCAGGAAAGATGGTGTGGAAGACTCTAATCTGATAATGTGGACACCCTTGAATGATATGGCAGAATGACAACAGCCTGTTTCTAAAGAATGTTACACAAGCAGAAACACTATCAGTCTACAATGAAAGAAAGAATAACATAAAAGAGGAATGACTCAAAAGGCAGGGCTAACCATGTAGACAAAGAGACTAGAGAAGGCATGGTACCCACTGCTGATGAGTATCCCGAGGGTTGGGCCACTGACGCTGTGCATCCAGAGTACAGAATCAGAGCACAGGGGATTATTAGAAGACCCTGAAACCTAATGGAATTTTACCTGCTGAATTTTGGGCTAGCTTTGGATCAGTGACACCCTTCCTCTTGCATTTTCTCCCTTATGTAAGGAGAGTGTCTAGCCCTTGCCTATCCCACCATTGCCTTTTAAAAACTAAAACTTGTTTTCTTGTTTCACAGATTGAGAGAAACTTTTCCCAGAAAAGATCATACCCAGATTTACATCACTCAGATTACATTTGGAACCTTTGAGTTAACGTGTAGATGACAATTTGAATTCAGAGTTAATACTGGAAGAGTTAAGTCCTATGGGATTCATAGGGGTGCAGGGAATGATGTCACGTATGAGATGGATGTGAATTTTTTGTGGGCCGGTAGGCAGGCTGTAGGTAGTTGAATAGTATACCCCAAAATCATATGTACATTCAGAGCCTCAAAATGTGATCATATTTGAAAATAGGGTGCTTTTTCTTGTAATTAGTTAAGATTAGGTCATACTGAATTAGAGTGTGCCTAAATGCAATTATTGACGTCCTTATAACAGAAAAGAGAGGACACACAGTCATATACATGGGGAAGAAAGCATGTAGTGATGAAATCAGAGATGAGAGTACAAGCCAAGGAATGTCAAAAATTGCTGGGAGCCACAAGAGGCCAGAAAGGGGCAAGGAAAGATATGTCCGTGGAGCCTTCAGAGGGAGCCAGTGACATGTTGATTTAAGACTGTGAATCTCCAGAAGTGATAGAGAATAAATGTATTTTCTTTTAAGCCACCCAGTTTGTGGAATATTGTTATAGAAGCCGTAGAAACTAATCTATCAGGGCATTGAATAGAGCTGAAAGGATAACGATCAGCCCATTGAAAGTACAGCAGAAATACTCACCTCAAGATGATAACATACAAGGAGAGGGAGCAATATTTGAGGACGCTTAATCACTCTAAATCATGGTGCTTTGTCCTGAAAAGAAAAGTCATCTGGATCTCCGTCCGACAGGGAGCAAACACAAGTAGCCACTCTTTTCATCATTCCTGGTGATCTGCTTGGAAAATCTGTGTCTCCATGCCCTACAACTCTGGTGTCTGTGGCTTTGGAGATACCTAAATGAGTATGTGATACCTAAATGTGATCTTAGTATTAGCATTATGATACTTAATTGAGGTACACCTACAAAAGAGAATGCGATGAGAGTCCTAAGTCAGCAGAGCTATCATAGCTGTGGGACAGCTGAAGGGGTCCTTGTCTCTGCCTGCTAGGGCCCAACAGCCTACTTCTGCATAGGGGACCCTGGGCCACTCCTACAAAGGCCTAACCATGTTTAGACAAACAAACAAACAAACAAACCCAGACTCAATGTACAATATGGGCTGACATACAGGGAGTCAGGTATATCTGCATGAACCCCTACCTACCCCACCCCGCACAGGGTTTGGGGAGAAAATAAAAGATGCTGAAGGTAAACTGAGTCTGGACTGTGGATCTTCAAGAAGCAGAACTCCGGGGTGTCCTCACCATTGCCTGGACCCCTCCCCTCCTCAGCCTCCCCACTCAGCACAAGTGACTAGAGATGCCTGGAGACAGGAGTGCGTGTTCCACCTTTCTCCTCTCCTTTCTGCTGGAGGCAGAGAGGCTGTGACCACAGTCTAACCTGTCTGCGTCCTTCCCATCTCTCAGGATCCTGAGCCCAGTCTTTGCTGAGGTGGCTGAGGATGTAGACAAGAAGGTCAGCAGTTGCTGCACTGTAAGT